GACACGTGGTTCACTTGCAGTTCAGTTTCACCTTAGATCGATGGTTCTCTGGTGTTTCTTGCATAGGGGATTTAAGCACTTGACTAGAACACCTCATTGATAAAACAGAGAAAAAAACCTTTATGGCAGACACTGGCCACTGTAAAACAAAGCAGGGCCATTGCCAGGATTCCCAGTGTCTTCTCTGTGCCTTTGGCCACGGAGCCACAGTCAGCTGGGCATGTCTGTCCCATGACTGTGAAGGGTTAATGGTCAGAGCTGGGAACAGTGCTGGATTCTTCCACTGGTCTCTCCCCATGCACTGGCACACACAAACTGCAGCTCCACTGTGCAGTACTGACACTGTCTCATCTCAAACACCTGCTGCCAGGTTGCCTTCCTCCCACAGCACCTCCTGCCGTCCTAACCCTGCTCTTCCTCTGAGGACCAAATAGGAAACTGGTCCTGTGCTTCATATCCCCTTACTCCTGTGCCTGACAGCTGCCGGGGGATCTCTGTACTTGCCATGTTCCCCAAAAGCACTGGCTGTCAGGGATACGGGCAGGGGAAACTGTCCCTCACTCAAAGAGCCCTTGAAAGGATTGTCCAAGTGGGCACCTTGGCAATGCCCATCTTTGTCTGCAGAGCTTTCCTACCGTCCCCCGTCAGGAGCCACTCACCATACCCCATGGATAGGGAATGCTTTTTCGGGCAGGACACCTGCACTGGCAGTGTTGCTCATTAATTTTTCTGCAGGCACTGATTAGGGGCCTCAAGTCTTCCTCACTTGCTGTGTCTTTCATGTGTCAGTTCCACTCCTTTCATCTGCTGCTTTTGTTTCTCCCTTTCCTGTGTTGGCTCATCTGCTGGAGACAGCCCATGGAGGCTCCGGGGCCGTGCGGTGGCTGGTGGCCTGCAGTGAGCTCTGCAGCAGCCTGTGAGCCCGAGGCTCACGGCACTCTGGAGCAGGCAGGAGTGGTATGGAGATGGCACTCAGGGAACTGAGAGGGAGCAAGGAGTTCACACCACGTGAGCCAGAGCCAGTCCTCTCCAGGTCCAGCTGAGCAAGAGCTCTCTAGGCTGGAATTGAGACCAGCAGCTTTGGCTCTTCCAAGTCATTCTTTTGGGGAATCTGCTTCCCTCTGTGGTGAACAGGAGTCCAAGGCATCCAGTTGCCCAAGCAAACCCCATCCCCAGCTAACCATTAAGTTGCCCACTGCAGTCAGGACAGTTCCTGCCCTGCTCGCGGGCCGGATCCTCCCTCTGCACGCAGATGGGGGTGGGGTGATGTGTGCCTTCCCTGCGCCCGTATGGCAGCACGTGCTGAGCTTGGGCCCACGAGTGTTTCTCCTGGCTGCGGGAGCTGAAAGTCAGAATCCCACACCGTGGGACCCAGTGGGATCCCTGGATGCCATCACTAGGTTACCTGGTGCTCTTTAACAGGAGCTCTGACTCTCAGGAGTGAGGGCCATGGCTATATCCCACACACAGATGAACTGCTGACTTTTTTTATCCCAAACTACCTGTCATTAACTTCAGCAGATTCTTTGGAGCTGCTCCCATGCTGAAAAGCAAGAATCTCAAAGCTTTCGTTGTCATCTTTTCTATCTACTGCCTTATATATATGACTCCCAAACTGCTCCCAGCAGGCTCTGGCCTGGTTTGGAGGCGAAGGGACCCAACAATGGGTTTATTCGGTCTGTATGGCTGTGGCTCTCCTTTCTTCCTTCAGATTTTTTTCTTTTTTGCCTTTCCTATTCTTCTTTTGATTTTACTTCCTGTTTTGTCTTGTTTATTTCTCTGTAGAGGAGAGTGAGGGAGAGTGACTCCTTTGAAAAGTCTGCTTAAATTAATTACTGTGGGAGTCCAAACACTCTTTATAGACAAGCAAGCTGGTGGAGAAGTGAGTGCCAGAATATTAAGCTACTTGCTGAATGGTGGCTGCAGAGAGCAGCCCTTGGAGTCCTCTGAGGAGTGGAAGAGAAGGGGACAGGGACACTCCTTTATCCAGAATTCAATCCCATTCTGAAGCCACAAGCCAAAGCCTTCAAAGAAAGGTTCAAACAGGCCATGTCTGGGTTGTATACAAGTGTGGTAGATGCATGTTTTGGGTTCAGCTCAGCTGTGGCAGCACTTTGTCTTTCATTAGCTTCCAGCAGGTTGCTCACATCTGTGTCCAGCTCCACCCTGGCCAGGTCTGTGTCTGAGTCTGTCCTGCTCCCTCTGGCAGAATGCACATTTTTTGGCTGCTGAATAGTTTTTTTTCATTTTGGTCATTTTTTTTGGCTGTTCTAGAAGCAGCTGGGCACAAATTACTTTAATTCCAATACCATTATTTTCACACCACGGCCTTCCAGCTGGCCAGGGCTGTGCTGAGGGAGGTGGATAGCAGTGACATTTCCCTGAAGGACAGAAATCAAACAAATTCACAAAAACAGAACAAGAAGCTATCAAGAAAGATCCTGTCCCTTTTGTGTAACCCCCACCACCAGCTGTTCTTCTGGCACAGCAGCTTCACCTGCAGTGCTGAATGTGCCTCGGAGAGGTCACCTGAGCATGGAATGCAGAGGGAAGACCCCGGAGAATGCAGCTGCCTCTTCAAAGAGGCAATTTTGAGTTTCATGCCCTGCTTCCCTTACTGGGAGGCATCTTGTGAGATTGGGCACTGTAGATTCCTCTGACTGGAAGGAACCTTGTTCCACTGAGCTGCAAGTCTCAATGAACACATCTGTTCTGCTTTCCCTGCACTTGACAGCACCCCAAGCCAGCACTGTGCCTGCCCCAGCACAACACTGCGCTTGGGAAACAGCTCTGTACACTGAAATGGGTGGTGCTGAGGCCTCACACCTCCACAAGCTGTGCCTTGGCAGGTTTAGTCTGATGTGCTGCAGCAATGCCCATGGTAAAAGCCCTCGGGGAGGGGACGCTGCCCTGCACAGCCCCTCAGGATAGATCCTGGGAACCAAGGATTAATATAGAGCCACTGGGAGCTTAAACTAATCAGTGATCCAGAAACTGCTTTTGTAGAGACTGCCAGAATAAATTCAAAAGCCTAAAAGATGCTAGAGCATAGTAAAAGGGAATGTGCTTGCCAAACATTGCTGTGCTTAAGTGGAAAGAAAGAAGACAGTGACTGTGTGACATGAGGATGGTGAGAACAACTGCACACAAGTTATGAGGGGTGGGCAGTGACACTTATGTGCTGCTTATTGCTACTGTCCAAGCAGGGACCTGGTTTTGTTCACTGATGTTTGCAAAGGCTCTGGGGACCCCACAAAGTAAAAGGAAAACATCATGATGCTGAGGGTTGTTCTTGGCACACTGCCTTGCTCAGTTCCTCTCCTCTCAGGCTGCAGATGGGCATTTTCATGCTCTTGCAACCTGCACACACCACAACAGTGTCCAGTCATTGCTAGAGCTTTTCTTCTCCTGGTAACTCAGCAGCTCCAATTCCCCCAAAAGCCTTCATGATGCAGCTGTAGTCTAAGACCTGGGTGTGAGAGCAGACAAAATACTGAGTCAAAAGCTACTGACAGGGAGGACAGGGGCAGCTCACATCAGCTCAGACTACTGGATCAGGCAAAGACAACCTGCAAATGCTCCACAGTGTTTAAGGATTCAGGATGGAGAGAGAGGTTATTCAAGGCAGGTGTTTCAGCTCAAAAATGAATACATGCAGCTAAGTCCTCTGTGTTTTTCACAGAAGTGTATGCACAAGCATATTTCAAGAGCTAGAGAGAATCAGGACACAAAGAGAAGCTGGGCAGTAAGAGGTTCTGCCTGGTTTGATTATTAAAAATGAACAGTCGAGCACTATGCATTTTCCAATGATGTTTATTTGTTTCCTGTAGCCCACAGACACAGTGGATCTGGCAATGGAGCAGATTCTTTTTGCCCTTAAAGTGTCCGTGTGAGATTAAGCCCAGGCTAACACTGTTGTCAAAGGCGTCTAGAGAGGGCAGCAGCAGAAGCAATGGGAGGTGCTGGGAGGAGGCTGGACAGAAGGCACGAGGGCAGGGAGCACCTTCCCTCCCACTGCCGCAGCAGAGACAGGGTGCAGACACATAAAATCATTTTGCTCATCTATAAGAGACAAACACAGCACCATGCAACACGAACTGCAGCTGGAAATGGGTGGAGAGCAGGACATAGGCAGTTATTGCAGACTGCTTGTTGGAAGTCGTGTCCCCAGGACACACAGCCACCCGTGGCAGGGAGCAGTCTGGTGAGCCACCAGTGACAGCAGCTGGCACACATGCTCCTGAGTGGCATTGGCTTGCTGAAGGGAACCACAATTCTCAGGATGCATCCACTGGGATAGTCCCCTCCCTTGGAGCCAGATCCTCTCTGCTGCCTTTCAAATGGAATTCAAGTATCTAAAGTACTGTGTAAAGAGACATCTGTCTATTTTCTTTGCAGGATGTGGACTATCGTGATGTCTCATCAGGTTGAGGCTCCTCTCAGCTCTGGACCAGACCTGCACCTTCCAAGGCACTTACTCTCCAGCCTGGCTAAAGGCAGCACCACCTCAAACATCACTTCTCTTCTAACGAAGATTGGAAGAATACCTTCTCCTGATCACCTTCTGCTCACAATCTCCCCTCCTCCCTCCAGCCCCCACCCTACATGTGCGCTCTACAGCTGCACACAGGCACAGGGCTTGGGCCAAGGCTACAGACCATGAGTACAGGAAGGTCACACACACACACACACACACACACAAACACACGCAGAGCACTCCTTTTTACTTTGTTTTGCCCAGTCGCAGACCTTCCAGCACCTGAATACTCCTCTGCCAGGTGGTTCCTTCATCCCAAGCAATCCACATAGCAGCAGCTAACCCAGAAGTCTCCACAGTGCAGGGCAACTCGTGCACCTCTGTTTGCAGCTGGAACCTTTGCTCAGCCCTGGAGAAAGGCTTTGGAAAGGCAGGCTGGCTCCTGCAGCCAGCACGGTGTCCTCGTCTCAGCCAGTTACTGTACAAAATGGACAACACACACACATTATTTACAGCTCGTTTTTCACATGATGGAGCAGCTCTTGGCTCGGTCTTTCCTGATCTCTGTGTCACTCAGTAAGTCTGTCCTGCCAGGCATCTGTGACGCCCGCTTCAGTCCCCGTTTGGAGTTGCTGCGCTTCAAGTTCTTGTGCACCCTGTTGACCGAGGCAAGTGTGGTCACATGAAACACGTCCCGTACACTGTTCTCCGAGACCTTGGAGGAGCACTCTGCGTAGGCCACTGCCCCAATCTGCCGTGCCAGCGCACTGCCCTGCAGTCCAGAGAGTACAGCAGGAAGAGGGAACAAGGTTAAGACATTGGTGCTCTGCAAGGAGCACCCTCTCACCTGGCCAGCAGCCCTGTCCATGCTGGCAGCCCTGCTACTGGAATGACTTCCAGCTACTAGCCAGGAGGCTGCTCAGCAGAGCATCAGCAACAAGTCAGAGTCTGCCAGAGCTGGGGACAAGAGTGCTGTGAGCATGACCAGCTCTGAGCCCCTGAGCCATGAGCAAACCAGCTGCAGACCAAGGCTTGGGTCACAGAGCCCCCACGTCTCCTCCCTGAGCCCTGTGGGGCTATCAAAACACACCTGCTCATGTGTCACTGGGATGAGGCGCTGCTTGGACAGCTCCCGGAGTGTGTTGAGGTCTGTCCTCATGTCCAGCTTGCAGCCAACCAGCACAATCTTCGCATTGGGGCAGAACTCCTGCGTTTCCCCTTGCCACTGCAGAGGAAACAAGAGGTTCTGGTGTGTATGGCTCTTCCAAACAGGGAAACTGTTCGGACATTTATTAGCTCATCAGGGAACTTTAATGATTGCCACAGGCAAGGATGGGAATGGTTGGAGTGCCTCTCAGACGACTTTATGGTCTCTTGTTCCAGATTATGCCCTGCAAACCTGTTTGATCCAAGCTGTGGTGCTCTGTGCAAGGCTGTGGGAGGCCAGTGCTGGCTGTGGAAAAATAATGACACACAGTCTGGTGCACAGGTCTGAGACCCCAAGGGTCAACATGGCCAGTGGGAAGCTCTTTGCACAGCACACACACCATTCACTTATTATTTGGAGCCACATGTTATAGACATCACGATATTCAGAACATAGCTATAACCAGGATAATAAAGAATTGAAGCAATGGAAGAAGGCCAGGGCAAACATCCATGTCCTTCACACAAATGGTTCCTTTCAGAGCTCCCAAAATGAATGCCTGATGTCAGCAGTGTCCACAGCAGCAAATAAATCCATCACCTGTAACCTCCCCCAGGGGAGACTTGCACAGCCCCATCAGTATGTCAAAGCCCTGGTTACTTATCTAGTGGTTCTGAAGTAGGAAGCAGATAATAGAGAGTACTCCTGGCTAAAGATATCACTTGGAATTAGCAATTTCCTGCTGTGCTAACTGGTGGTTAAGCATATACCCTGAGCAATTAGAAGCAGAAAGAAAACCAAGTCACAACTCAGTGTCTACAACCTGATGAGGAAGGGAAGTACCAAGAAAGACCCAAGTTTCATTCAGTCAGTATCAGACCAAAGCAGCTGCAAAAATAAGGAGAAATCTTATTTTCTACCAGGAGATAGACTCAGGTATCTTCAGGTATCTGCTTGCCAGGGACATTTGTTCCTCAGGACACAGGCACCTCTGGACCTTGGGCAGTATGCCAGGCTGCACAGCTCCCAGAGATCTCTGGTGCTGCAGCCACAGAACACCAAGGGCCAATACCCTCACGAGGAGCAGATGCAACCTGTTTGGGGCTGGAATTCAAGCACCCCAATTTACCTAAAGGATTTGAGTTACAGGGTCTGTTTGCACCTGGCAGAAGTCACAGTAGTGACACAGGGCTCCCTGGTCTATGGAGAGAGCTATGATCTTCTTCCCATATGATTTACACCTCTGGAAGCCCAAGACCTGCTGCACTATCAGGACTTGGCAGAACGAAGGCACCACCCCACGAAAACCTGCTCTGTATGAAAGGAAGAGCTGCTTGTCTGCATTCCCTCAGATGGCTCCATCCCTTCAGCTGTACATGCTGTACAGCAGCCCAAGCATCAGAAGGGCAGCAATAATAAAGATTTCCTCTGCTGAATTAGTATTTTTGCCTGAGGCTTGAACATGGAGTGTTATTTTCCTTATTCGCCTGATATCACAAGCTAAAACCCATTTCAACTTCATGGTATCTTAGGAATTTTCCTCACCTCCATGAGGCTGTGAGCCTGCACCAAAGGAAACAAGGCATCTACTTAGAGGCACTTAAGAAATCCCCTGGAATTTAGGGTTTATTTTAAGTTACCATATCAAAAAGATGTTGCCTAACAGTACTCAGAGCATCTGTGAGGTTGCAGAGGGAACGCCATGCACTGCACAGGGTAGACTCACATGAAGAGTGTACAGAGAGACATAAATAACTCCCAACCTCAGCTAATTATCAAGGGGTTTGCATCTCATCAAGGTATATGTGATTCACTCGCATTATTATTCTGCTGACTCCCAAGCCAAGCAGTGAATTCTTTCAGTCCACATGAAACAACCTCCCTCAGCCCAGCCCGCTCGGCACCCGGGACCTGCTCTAGAAGCCAAACACTGAGCCATTGACCGAGTTATCTGAAGGGTCTTTGTTCCCTCACCAGGGCACTCCTGAGACAAAGCCCCACTTCTCAGCCCTCCCAGCAGCTGAGTAAGAGGCACTTGCTTCAGCACAACATTTGGCAAAATGTGGAGAGGCCAAGAGGGCAGCCAGTTAAATGTGACATGTTCAGGCTGTGGCCAGTCCAGCCCTGGGGCTCTCTGCAGAGAACAGACACGGGAACCACTGCTCTGTGGTGCTTTTCACGCCTTGGTGCCTCAGAGAGTGTCACAAGACACCAGTCAAGGCTTGCCCCTGGGACAGGATGCAGCTGCCAGTGAGTTCTCTGAAGCTTTGCTGCACAGCAGAGCCACATCTCCCTGAATTTCATGGAAGGAAGCAGGGTACAGCTAGGAACAAGGGATGCAAGTGACCAGGAGGCCATTTACCCCCTCTCCTCTGAGCTGCACTCTAAGTTGCTGGACTTCATCCATCTCAGAGGAAAGCCTCATACAAGACCCTCTCCCTGAAGTGATCCACTGGAGACCAGCCAGCGGTGGTGCATAGCAGATCCCCAGCCCTGTGGAGCTCTCCAGGACCTGCCATCTGGAAACATTAGCTTGGATGAAAGGCACTAACCTGCTGGTAGAAAAGTATCTGCTGCTCCCGCAGAGCACAGCCAGTCAGGCCTACTGGGGCAGGGGCCCTGGCTGCTCCCCAGGCCAGTGGCATTGTGCCATCTCATCTTATTAATTCAGTCTTGAAATTCAGTGCCACAGCTCATTATTTTTGTTGTCAACCTATAGAGAACTGATTGCTGTATTCCTTACTGTGCAGATGCTGAACTGAGGGGACAGCCAAAAAACTGAGTGCTCTGCTTGCTTGGAAGCAGGCACCAGTGATCACATCTCAGCTGCTGCAGGCAATCCAGAGTCACTGGTGGTTCTGCTAACGAGATCCATAACACTTTCCAAGGTCTTCATGAAAAACAGAACAAATACCCTGCATTTCCCTCTGCCCACATTTGTATGTGTGAATACAGACAGACCCCACACACATGCTGCAAGCTACCATGAGCTTCACCATTCACTGGGCTCCTTTCAAATGGAAATATCTTGCATTCTGCACAGACCACATAGAGATCAGCAGCAGCCGACCATCCTCCTCTGGAGCCAAGGCTCAGCCCCAGGGCCAGACCAGGGAGCAGGGACCACGAGCTGCTGCAGAGCACCCCAGTTGCTGGCTGGAGGGCACAAGGGCACACTTACCTTCTTCAGCACACTGTCCAGGGTCTCTGGGCGGCTGATGTCAAAGCAGATGAGCACAGCATCCGAGTCCGGATAGGCCAAGGGACGGACGTTGTCATAATATGCTGATCCTGCAGAGAGGAGCGGGAGGAGAGCGGTGAGCAGGTCCCATCCCACTGACTGCTTCTGGCCTGAAGTTGCAGGCTGGGACCCTCAGCTCTCTCTGCCAGGCAGTGGCCTTTAATTCCAGTAAGAAACAGAGACACTGACACATGATGCTGAAGATAAAGGATGTTAACCCAAGCTTTTGACCGTAAGGTTCAGCCATAGTTTGATTTGTAGAGGATTTGGTTCCTTTGTTTAGGCATGGAAGTCAGAGGTTTTGTCCTTGTATTCTTCTATTTACCCCTTTCCAGAGTGAAAAGGCATGTTTTGCATCCCTCTCCTTCCCCAGTGAGCATCTGGCAAGGCTGTGTGGAGCTGTGCTGCCAGGGATGTTGCTTGCCAGGGCAGGAGCTTGGGAGGGCTGTGGTGCCATAGCACAGCACACACCTCACTCCCCATGCACGCCTGGATCCCATTGCTTGTCATGCCGGTGCTGCACCACTAACAGTGGAAAGGTGTGGCTGAGAGAAGGCAGGAAATGCTGCTGCTATCAGCTCTTGTTATCTTTATACAGGAGAGCTTGCTCACACAGATTGTGAGAATTTAAGACAGGTAAAAATGAATTGCCTTTTTCTCTGGGTTTGTGCTGGAAAAAGTCAGACAGGTTCTTTTCAGTACATAAAAGAAGTGACAGGATTTGGTGAACAAGCTATAAATGGAAGGGGATGATTCTGCACTCTGCAGGAATCCTGTGAGCAGGCAGAGAGCCCAGCCTGCATCCTGCACAGCTTCTACTGCACATACATACACACACACACACCCCCCTTCACTGCAAGTTCCAGGCATTTAAAGTCACTGTCCCACAGTGGTTTTATTTGCACTGCATTCTGTCAGTGAGTGCAGATGCCTCAGCAAATGGTCACAGAACAATCAGCTCATCGCTACTTAAAACCACTGTTTTGGCTATATATTTGGCTTTACAATTACTTAAACTTCCTGGAGGGATGAGAAGCAGATGTTTATTTATGAAAAGGGGAAGCAGAGGCACCAGAGCCCTTCTTGAATCTGCCCCTCCAGAAGCAGGATTGCCCACTCGAGGCCAAGGAAGCCAGAGCCAGCACTGTTCCAACCTGGGAGGAGGGTGCAGCACCTAGCCCAGGTGTCAGGTGGCTCCTTGATGAAGTTCGGCACCCTATGAATTATGGATGGTGGTGGCTTATGTTTCCAGGAGGAAGGGAACTAGTTGGGATCAGCACAGAAGAAACAGACCCTGATCTCTGCGGAGCCCAGGCCTCTTCCTAGAGGGAAAGTCATGTTCCCTAATGGAAAGGAGCCAGTTCCTGTGGCACCTCGGACAGCTCTGGAGATGGGGATGCAGGACAGGGAGGCACGGTGAGCCAGGGAGATCCTGTATCCCAGGCACAGAGATTTCTGACCTTGCCTCAGGCTCGTGCTGCTGCAGTTCACACCTGACAGGCGGCACCAAACACAGGAGCACTTTGAATGGAGTTTTCAGTCTCGTGCTTGGTGTGAGCTGACAGGATGGGATGGGAGCTCCAGCACCGATCCTCATGCTTGGATTAGCCTGGTCCTTTATCTGAGCCATGCCCTCTCCCCCGTGCACACGGGGGTGTCTGCCTCCAGACAGGGGCCCTGGCGCTGGAGGAAAGCGTTCCCACACACATCCTCTCCCTGCAGCTTCTCAGTTTTACATAAACACTGCAGATAAATCTACCCCCTCCCAGCCAAGGAATGCTCCTTTTGTAGAGGTGGTTTTGGCTCATTCAGCACAGACATCGCCACAGCAAACTGTATCGTAGCAACGTGCAGTTCCCCAGCAGCCAGCCAGCCCCTCGGCAGGGCGCAGACAGCGCAGCCTCTCGTTATCCGCCCAGCACGGACCCAGCCCGGTGCCAGGAGTGATGCTCTCACCACCGGGACCACGGGAGCAACGATCCCCGTGCTGGCAGAAGGAGCTGAGGGAAGCATGAGGTGGAGAACCTTATCTTACTAATGAGATCGGAATTTCCTTCACGTTCATTAATATTCTGCTCCAACCCCACAGAGCAGGAGCCGCCCCTGGCACCTCCGCGGGCAGCTCAGCTCGCACCCAGCGCTGCAGCCTCTGCTCACCCCAGGAGACCCGCGGGGACCCACAGCCAGTGCTGCCACAGCTCCCAGCCCAGGTAATCCCCAGCTTGCTCTGGAGACATCTCTACTGAATCAGGAAATTCTGTGTGGGTGATTATCCTTCCAGTTTTTGCATCTATTACTTTTTCAGTGCATACAACAATTTAAAGCAAAAATACCAAAAAAATCTGACAGCAAAACACAAAAGCCTTGGTGCCCTCAGCTCCAGTTCTCCAGTTTTATTGATTCTGAGCACTCAACACCTTTCAGGTACTCCAGCAAGACACTCCCGAGACTCACAGTCTGGCACTTCCAAACACACACATGCGCCCAAGGATGGTGTGTCTGCAGATTCAGCTTTCCTTTACAGCATGAGTTAATCTCCCACTTGGCACCCAGGTTTGCAAGAAACAGGACCTATGTACATCTGTTCACGATTAAAGAGAGAAAACTGGAGCAAGAAAAAAACAGCTTCAAAATAAAATCCACACAGTTGTTGTCTGCAATTCAGGGGTGGATCCAGCCATGAGCAGCTAGCTCCTCTTTCTTCTTGGCTGGCAGCCCCTAGAATGCCTGGCATTGCAGCTCAGAGATGCCGCTCTTGGGCAGGGGACAGAAATATGCTGTCTCATCTATACCAACATTGTGCTAATCTACTAACCTTCATTCGTTCTTTATTAGCTGTTATAGAGACAATGAGCCTCCTCACACGGGCACCTCCATCCAACAATACGATATGACGAACCAGGAAATCCAGTGTGCATGCAAAGCCATGATCTGCTCTGCAAGTGGCTCCTGCAGCCCCAGCCAGCTCTGGCTTGAAACAGAGACAAGCACTGCCAAGGCCTGAATTTCTCAGCAGCACACTTGTCTTGGAGGGCTCAGTGTAAACTCTCCCCATAGAGCCAGCCACGCTGTGGCACATGCTGCTTTCTGCAGGGACAGCCAAGTGCATCCTTCATGGAATGAAACAGAAATTCATCCCAGCTTTCTGGAGCTACATCGACAAACTGAAGAACTTTGAGTCACCCCCCTGCACAGCAGTGCCAGATGAGCAGTGGCTGGTAGAGACAACAGAGGATGTCTGTTCTGCCAGACACACCCCACCAGTGGTCCAGCCAAGCCCTGGGCAGGACAAATCTGGCAAAGCAGGACCAAGCCATCAGCCCCAGAACTTCTACAAGCTTCTGTCCTGGCTGGACTTTGATGTTTCTCTTGCTTATGCAACATCACTGCAAACCCCTGAAGTATAGGAAAGGAGGAAACTGTTCCATGACATGGAATAAGCAATCAACTGGAAAGTGCACAACTGAAACAAGAGTCCATCTGCTTGGACAGTTAACCTCTGCTCCTAATTCTTACCAGGCACATACAAAAATTAGTGAATTACTACAGGGCCCAGCTGGCACACCCTCAGGATAGACAAAATCAGGATGAAGGGAATGGTATTTGCATGAGCTGAGGTGGCATTTCTGGACCTCTCTCCAGCTCTTACAACTGGAAACCTGCCCCTCAGGAGGAGGCTGTTGTGCTGGACTTACCAGTGGAGAAATCTCCAGCTCAGGCAGGCACAGGATGCCCCTGCCTCATCCCAGTCCTGTGTCCTGTCTCACATATGCAGCTACCAGAGGTCCAGAGGAGCTTGCCCAGATGCAAACTCCCCTCTAGCAACTAGGAGGAAGCTCTGGAAGCTCCCTGTTGAAGTCCCTGTTGGCTTCTGAGGGAGCATCACCAAGTGTCTGGGGTGGGAGGGCTGGGTCTGCGGAGGCAGCCTAAGGAGTTCACTCAGTCCTTTCACAATCATGCCTACAGCAGCTGACAAGGGAGACAAATGAGGGCCAGAAGTCCCTTCCTGGCACTCTTGCGTGTCACGAGGGCAGTTGGCATTGCCATAACCTGCCTGTCATCCCTTCTATAGCGTACAACAAGGACTAGGAGTGGCAACAGCTTCCCACAGCACAGCCAGCACACATTCTGCCTTTGGGGAACACATCTGACGGCTGAATGAACACAATTATCTTGATGCAAGGTTGCACATTTCAGGTTTGCTGTGCACAAGCAGCAGATCCCTCCCCAGCTGCTCAGCTGCCAGATAAGGTTTCTCCCCACAGGGAAGGCTGGGCCTGTACACTTGTGAAGTTTAATGGAGTGGAGATTTTATCTTCAGAATCTGGGTCAAAAGGAGCAGGGAGAGCAGAGCTGTACTGTCCTTGCCACAGGAGAGAACAGATCACACCCAGAGCCAGGAACAAACCCACCCCATGGAACACCCTTCCTTGTCGATGAGGTCACAGTAGCCAGCAGGATCAGCTGGCTGTCCCTAATGACATCGTTCCTTAGCACCCCCACGACAACCCATAGCCCTACAGAGGATGAGTTGGCTGTCCCTAATGGCATCGTGCCGTAGCACCCCCAGGACAACCCATAGCCCTACAGAGGATGAGCCTCAGATCCGTAGGGGACAAAGGACCGATGCTGCCACAGGGCACACTGCCCTTGCTGCAGGAGAAGTAACCTCCGTCCCTGTGCCACACAACACTGCAGCACCCCCACACCATGCACAGCCCAGCATGATGATCCTCCCAGGCACTGTCCTGCCCTGTCATGTCCTGTCATGTCTTCCCTGGTCCATCCTCCACCCACTCCAGCATAAACATTTTCTGCTGCAACCCTTTAAACTTCTGTCCGACTGGTTACTGACCTGCCTGAGAATGTGACCCAGCTGCACATATTTTTAGGCTTAACTATGTATTTGTGCTGAGGCACATCACAAGTATGCTGGTTTCAGGCTCCCAGCCTCAACAGGAAGCATGGGAGGAGCTATTTTGGTATGGAAAGGGCAGCTCCACATTTTCTCTCTGCCTCAGAGTGCAAGTGGCATTGAACTCTTTCTGAGACAGAACTTGCTCTTACACTTTGGAAGAGGAAGCCATGGTAATGCTGGACCTGCACACTG